TTAAAATCTCATTTGTATTTAATTTCAGTTATTTGTGTAAATTTTAATACAATTAATATTTGTGTTGTATTTGTGGACAAATTTCACATTTACTTAATTATTATTTCATAATTTAATTGTATTTTTTTCCAGTAATCTAAACGCTATGTTTATCATTCATATATTAATATTAATCTAATTTCTGTTAAAGTATTGATACAAACATTTGTCAAAAATGTATAAAAATTATCCATTTATTAATAAAAGTCTTGATTTAAATTCTTATAAGTCTCTTGTATTTAACAATTTTTAAATATTCATACTTTACTTATTGTGTGTATGCATTGAATCCACTTTTAATGTTTATAAAGCTATAACTAATAATTCACAAATCATTTATATTTTTCACTATTTATTCATTTAAACTGAAATCAATTTATTTTTGGTAGAGTTTCTCTTTGACCACAACTCGTATGACTTGTGCCCCGAATGTGACCACTGGTCGCCCCAACGACTAATCGGACTATCCCTCAACACTACCATCACTTTAAGACCTTTTAGACTATCCTTTTAGAGGCTAAATATTATTGAAATTATAGACTATTTTCAAACCGCAGTATAATTAGTGCCATTTATTCTTGTATTTAATTTTTAATTATTTTTACTCACGTTTTTGATAACAATTAGCACTTTTTAAATCACTTTATAAACAAATTTAACCGTTAATTACAAACAGTATTTCAAAAGCAATTCAAATATTTGTGAAAAAGTAATTGAATATCTGATCCAAAGAGTAATGTTTGAAACCAACAGTGGAAGCAGTGATGTCGTAAATTATGACACTTTGACTATCACTGAATTGTTGTCCAGATGTGACTTTCCTGAGACCAGTCTTGAAGCCAAAGAAATGCTGAAGAATAAGACAGAAGTGAGCGTTGGATTCAATGATCTAAACGACAGCTCAAAGCGAAGACACTTCAAACCTGACTTCGAGACCATCGACTGGTTGTCCATTGATATCACCCGTGATCTCAACTTCAACGGCAATCATATCATGAATGACGAGAGACTGATGACACGTATCGTCCACTTTCCTAACATTAAACGGCTATTTCTGGCAAATGTTGGACTGAATTATGAGACAATGGAGATATTTGTTAATCAGTGGCCACAACTCCACGAGCTCTGCCTCTACGACATCGACGGACCCATTGACGAGACAGCGAGCATACAGTGGGCGGACCTTCTGTTCAAAGTCACGCACTTAACAGTTGGCAAAATTGGTGGCAATTATGTGTCCTTTTGGTTGTCCGTCGTCTCCAACTTATCACGGCTTCAATGTCTGATTGTCTGGCCCTTCAAATCGGAGCATCACTTGAGTCCACGAGAGTTAACGCTGTCATCGCTGCACACATATATGCCCGCAAACATCCAGTCTCTGCACTATTGGGTGACCATTTTGGACACAAAGGCCATCGCATCCATTGCCAGCCGTTTCTCTAAACTCCGAGAACTGGTCTTAAATAGTGGCAAAAATTATGCTCAAAACGAGATCAACGAATGGAACAAATGTTTTAAGATTATCTGCGATAAACTTTATGCAACTCTGGAGAGACTGGACATTGTTTTGGGCGATATGTCGGCCGAAAAGTTTGCTCAAAGTCTGGCAATACTCGATCAATTGAAACATCTAAGAGTCAGCGCCAGCCATACCTGTCGTGACAATTCCGTCCTGTGTTTAAATACCGCAAACATTGAGCCAATGCCTAAGTTGCACACATTGGAGATGTATGGCGTGAAGAGTTCCCCGAAACTGATGGCAAAATTGTCCGAAGTCTGGCCAAACTTGAGGCGAGTGTCCGTCGATTCCATGTATTGGCACATGGATTGTAAAGCTGGTTATCAATGCGATCAATGTATGGCTCAGTGTATGGCTTATGTGTCAAAACTGGAACACTTGGAAGACATGATCATTGTATACGACTTTTCCGACATTACGCTCAAGACGTTGAAGCTCTTCTCTGAATCTGCTGTCAAAAGTCTTAGCATTCATGCGGTGCTCCTGTCTTATGAAATTGAAGAACTGATCCAATTTGTGACCCAAACTCTGGCCAATAGGAAAACAAAGTTTTACTTGAATTTGAAGTCTTGTGTTAAAAAACAATTAATGGCACGAATGAAGACACTGAATGTCCAAATGCCAGACAATGTTAAAATTGGACAACTCGTCGACACTCAACCCTTTAAATGGAGATTCAATTAGTGGTAGAAATAATTGTATGTTTTGTTTGATAACCACTTTTTAGTTAGAAATTAGATCATTTCAAATAATAGTTATAAATGAAAACAACTCTATTGTAAAATAGTATGAAATTTCTATTTTAATACCACAAATTTAATTGCTTTTTAATTTTATTGTAAAACTAGTTTTGTATTTAAAACTCAATTAAAACTATATTTATTTATTGATTTGTGTTTTAAAATCATTTCATAATTGACACAAAATTTTGCAAACAAATAAATTGTTAATAAAAATTAAAAATTTTAAACAAATTTAAAAAAAGTTGAAACACAAACCGAGCGATTGGTTCTGTTGTGTGAAAAACGAGGCCCTGAAGTGAGTTAACCCACCAATCAATGGCCTTAAATCGGATCCGTGCAGAGTTGGCAGAATTTCGGAGAGACCCGCCGCCGGGCTGTAGGGCCGCACCCGTGGGCACCGACTATTTCCAGTGGACGGGCAGTATTGACGGACCGCCGGACACTCCCTACGAGGGCGGCGTGTTTAACATCAAGATCACATTCCCGCAAAACTATCCGTTCAAAGCGCCCAAGATTGTGTTCACCACCCGGATCTATCACCCAAACATACTATATACTGGTGCTATATATTTGGATACACTGCACAGGAACTGGAGTGCGGGCCTCACTATTGGCGCGGTGTTACTCAGTGTTCAACAATTGATGACTGACCCGAACCCCAACGAACCGGCGGACGGCACGATCGCCCGGCAATACACGGCGAATAGGGAGGCGTTTAACCAGACGGCCAGACAGTGGACGGTACTGCACGCGAGCCCTCCGCCCGGCCACGTGTTCACCGTTCAGACCACCGCCACTCCGACCAACAGTCAGGACAGCGCCGGTACGGGTGGCTCTGGTCATAGCGGTTAGCGGTTATGGGATAGCGAATGGGAGGGTTATATCCATTGAATTGCAAACAATGATAAGGATTTGATAAAAATTAATCTCAACTCAGTTTTGAAGTTTGGTTTTGTTATATCAATAAATGTGGGGTTTTGTGAAAATCAGTGCATTATTTCTTGAATTGAGTTGTTTTGTAAATTGTTTTTGTTTTCAGAGCTTTTAAATGAATAAATTTAAATGTATTACAGAATAAATGAGACCAAAAATATGATATCGTTTGAAAGGCAGAGATCGCTGGGAATTAGTGTCCATTCGTTTAATTTAGTGATGAAATTGTTTGTTCAGGAAATGCCCGCAAAGGATGACTTCGCAGATGATATCTCCAGTAATAAAGGGCCTATAGTTTTGGATTTATTGCATCACATGTTGTCTATTGATGGCAGTACTGGAGATATAACTGAAGAGTATGTTATTTTCATTAAAATGGTTTACAAATTGTATGTAATTTGTGTTTGATTTCAGGAATAATGTCAAAATGTTTGACATTATTTTGTTTGTGAATGAAAATGAAGTGAATTCTGTGAATGAATTGCAAATGTTTGTCAATGAATGCTATGAAATAAAAATCAATGTCTATAGAGATAATAGATATAAAGATCTCACAATTAATACAACATTTTCGGATTTATTATTATTTTTAATTTAATTCAATTATTTTTGATTCAGTTATAATTATTGATTATCTTTCTATTTTGAGTGTTTTATCGCATAATATATTTATATTTAATTTTTTAAATACAGATTCTATTTAATTTAAATAAATCTCAACTCCTATTCATAATGATTTATTAAATGTTCAAAGGTTTAGTTATAAGTATAGAAAATTTAAAATATACATGTATATGTATATGTATTTCAAACCCGTTTCTTATAAAGATGTGTTAACTTAAAGAGAAGTTTTTCCGAAAGAGGTTGTACTGTATTGCGATTATTTCAATGAAAGGGTTCATAAAACTTATCAAAATATGTTTATCATTGAATTATAAATTAGTTAAATATGTGCTGTTTTGTAATTATATATTTTATATATAAATAATTTAATCTATTAATCAATTAATATTAAAATCAATAAATAACGACCAATCAATTTTTGTATAACACATAATAACTTATAAATTAATAACTCATGTGATTGTTATTTGGGTTGAAATTGAAAATTTTATTGTAAATTGTCATTTATTTAGACATTAGAAACAATTATTATTTCATGCTTACAAAAAAATAAAATTTAGTTAAATATTAAATATACGCAAAGGATATATAAATGATTAAACAAAATATATATTTAGGTTCAAAAAATAATTAAATAATTATAAATAATTCATTCGTCCGTTCATTAAGAAAATACATACAAAATAGCGATCGCACTACAGGTCCGACATGTTATATAATACGGACCCATCACTACCACCACCAACACTACCCGCCTATAGACAAACAAAACTAACATGAGCATAACACAATCACCTAGGTCAGCCTACTTACATGTGAATCACCACGGGTTGACTGCACTTGCGCTAAATGTTCGGACAAACGGCTCACGATGTCTTCGCGCCATCTCTTTTGCCGGATCTGTTGGGTTAAGACCCGCTGCTGGCCCTCCCGGAGGGCGCGTCTAATGTCCAGACAGTGCGGAACCGTACAGTCGCCGGCCGGGCGGTGACAATGGCGGGCGTGATATGTGCACAACTCCATCAACTGTTCGCACGGCGGACAGCGGGGCTCGTCGGGCGACTTGGGCCGGCACAGTGTGGCCCTGTGTTCGCAGTCCAACCAATGTGTCATCACTTTTTTCATGAGTTCGCATGACGGGTACGTACAGCCAGAGCCCGTGGCTGTGCACTCGCACGCGTGCACCAGTGTCTGCACCCGACCGATGGGCTCAACACTGGACACACCCTTGTAGGCCATGACCAGCGGCGGCTCAGGCAGTGGTTCCGGCGGTTCTGGCAATGGCACCGACATATCGCCGCTATTCTCGTCTGAATTAAGTTTTGTAATTAGTTTTAATCTATAGTTTGCGTATAATATCCATCACATTATATACAGTGTACAGTGTGTGACATACCCTCCATATCCAGTAGGGGTGTATTAGAAAACACCTGGCTACTTTCAAACGCCTGGTGCATTGCCATTTGAACGGTGCGCGCGCTCTCCCGGTCTGCTCAATACGGGCCTCAAATATTGATGATATGATTGATTTTGTGTGAAATGATATGTGGATATTGAAGCACACAATTTAATTGATGTTGGTTTTAATGGTTAGTCTCATATACAGTAGGATATGGTATGTGTTAAACAACACAAAGACACTGTTCAATGACTGAATGGCTGAATGTTGTGAATTTTAATAGTGCATGTGTAGAGACTTTTATGCAAGTATTACTTATTTGTGTTATAATGTGTGTGTATTATATATTTTTGCTTTTTATAATGACATTTATTATGATGTTTTTTCTCGTGATTCACTCACACGTATTCATATTATCAAGTATCATTTATTTGCCTGTTTGTGTATGCGACTTATATTTAATTAGTGTAATTTAAGTACGATGATTTGAACATGATACAAATCAAATAGACACCATCACCATTACCACTACCCAGACACATTAATTGATTTTAATCAATAACATCAATGAGACTTTGTTATGACTATAAGTTTTAAAGTAAATAAATCTAGACAAAAAGACAATAAACATGATATGTTTAGATATTTAACAATATTTATTTGATTTAAACTTTATATTATTTAAATAAATTCATTTAACATTTACAAAATAGATAAATATATTGAAAATAATAATTTCATTAATGTCAGTTTGTGTCAAATCATTTTAGGCCCTTACATTTGTTTTCGACCAAGGTTGAAATAATATTCCAATGATATGTAGTGTAATTGTCATTGAATAGTTTTAACTACATTGATATAACTCATGATAGTAATAGTACCTGGATCTATTAACAAAATAGTCGTGTCATAACCAGACCATGACCGTACCTGATGAAATACACATTTAACCCTAATAATTTTACAAACATCAAGGTTCTAACAATATTCTTATAAGAATAGTATAGAATTATTTATATTCATTGCCATATTTATATGTAACTTATATAATGGCCTGCATTGCACTTTCGGTGTGCTGTATGTTAAAATTAATTAATTATAAATTAATTAATTAATTAAATAGTTATACAATAATTAATAAACTTATGTTTCACAACATATTCTGCAAAGTCTTTTGTTGATCTCGTTTTCCATACATTTGTTATCAAAGGGACACTTATTGGCCGTCCCTTTGATGACCGACACCTTCACAGCCGTCGGTGGGAACGGACTCTCCGACCGTATCATACGATCAATGGTCTGATCCATCATTTTCATCACGTTTGTTGCATAGTTGCCGGCATACATAGTATTTACCATCATATTGTTATTGTGGTTATAACTACTAATGTTATTATAATTATTGTTGTTAATGTTGTGATTATTAGACTTGTCATATGTGGGGCTATTGTCCGGGAATAGGCTCATCGGCGGCGGCTTAGACTGTGTCTCCGAAGCGAGCGCTCCGTTAATTATCAACGGATTTGGCGGTGGATTATAGCCCGAAGTATTGCTAGTATTGCTGTGATTACTGTTGCCATCATTTACTTGACGACATCGACGGTTCTCTTCAATCTTGTGCCTCCGGATCTCCTTTTCCTCCTCATTCAGTATCCATTCCTTTGCAACAAAAGTAATAATAATTTATTTATTAGTTATAATTGTTTGTAAATAATTAAGTTTTATAACTAATTACTTGTTTCATTCCGACGGCATAGCACTTCCGGAGCCGACATCTGCGGCAAAACTTTCTGGTCTTGATGTCTACTTTGCATTTGTCATCAAACGGACACTTATACTCCTATATATACATTATAGTGGTATTAATTGTGAATTAATAGATGTGTTTTTTAATTATAATTATAATTAAATTAAAACTACAATTTTACCTGAATTTTAGTGGCATTTCGACGAAAGAAAGCCTTACATGATTCACAAGTTATGGCACAAAAGTTATAGCCTATTATGAAATAAGTGAATAAATTGTATTAATAAATCATATTTAAAATAATAGCAAATGTTAAAGAATTCACGGCTTAATATTGGTATGAATTTTGTCGCTAAATACAACTGATTTGCTAATTATGTTTAAACAAACATCTGTGTAAACAAATGTAGTAAATACCGTATATTGCATAAATAATATAATTGGCATTACATAGTAAAGCACTAAACTAGATCACTATTACTTAATACATCTAGTACACTGTGTGCAAATTGATTCTGGTAATTTTATGTATTTTAAAGTCCTGTTTAATATCAATGTAATAATTAAGATAACTTTAAAACTAATTGATAAATTATATTTTTTAAACCTCAAGTACTTAAAGGACTGCAACCATATGTCAGTTTTGCACTTAAAATAAACTTATTTTTATAATCACTTTTCATATTATGAAACACTTATGAGAAATAAATATCTATTCAAAATCAATATATAATATTTGCAAAGCCATACATACCGATAGCCTTTTCGCCACAAACTGAACATATTTTCATGTATTTCTTGGACTGAAGTTTATTGAATTCTGTATTATAAATGAAAATAAAAAATATAACGATTAGTAAGAAATCAAATTTTAAAAAGTAATAAATTCTATAAATTATTAGCAAAAATGATAAGCAATTAAATAGGATATGATTTTTTTAGGAGACCCAATTGATAATCACTATTGGATACAATATAAATCACAAGGTATAGTGAGGGTACACTTATACCAATAGTAGTTATGTATTACTGTATATAAAACATATAATAATTAAACAATGTATTAGCGGTGGAGTACAAACTCCAGTCCACAACCTTTATGCTATTTTCTTAAGACTTAAGCACTAAAACATGTTATTTAATACATGTATTGTTAGACAAATTCTGGGAAAATAATTGTACATTTGGTTATCGTTTGCTATAAATGAGTGCAATATTTCTCCCATTTTTCTTAACTACTGATAATATTTAATAGATTTTACGGCAAATTGCTTAACAATTATTGTTTGTACTCCTGTATCGGGTAATTACTAATTAAATATACAAAACAATAACATAATTATATTTATTAATTATTTATTTACTGACCATTTGTGGCATTATTGCTATTATTGTCGCTATTATAAGCTTCCGATTGACAATCGTTTGCTGCCATCCCTATCGGTGACCGTATGGGCGACTGTACGGGCGATGTGTCCATCGGTTTCGACCTATTATTGTCACCGATTGTTATCTTCAAGTCTTTCGACTTACGATTCTCTTCGATCTTAATCTTCCGGATCTCCTTTTCGGCGTCGTTTAGTATCCATTCCTAACGCGGGGTTCAAATCACAATTAGTTATCACTTATACAGTACTCGCA